ATTAAAGTGTCTGATAGTACTGCGCATTGGTGAGGATGTGAAGCAAAAATAACTCTCATTCAGCGCTGGTGAGAAAGCAAATTGGTACAGCCCCTTTAGAAAAGTAGGTTGGCAATGTAATCGGTAGAAAAAAGTCCCCCAAAAGATGTTCAGACTTAATCCCTGGAACCTATGAATGCTACCTTATATGGGCAAAAAGAACTCTGCAGAAGTGATTAAAGATTTTTGTTTTTTTAAGACCGAGTCTTCCATATGTCACCCTTGGTAGAGTGCTGTAGTGTCACAGCTCACAGCAACTTAGAACTCTCGGGTTTAAGCGATTCTCTTGCCTCTGCCTCCCAAGTAGCTGGGACTACAGGCGCCTGCCACAACACCAGCTATTTTTTTTGTTGCAATTGTCATTATTGTTTAGCAGGCCCGGTGGGTTCAAACCCGCCAGCCTCAGTGTATGTGGCCGGCACCATAACCACTGTACTAGGGGCGCTGGGCCTAAAGTTTGGGTACAGCTCCAAAATTTTGCATTTGAATTTTGAGATGAGATGAACCTGCATAATTTGGGTGGGCCCTAAATGCAATCACATGTATTTTTCCAAGAGGGAGGCAGAGAAAGATTTGACATAGAGAAGGCAATGTCACCACAGAGACGGAGATTGAGGTGATACTCCTACAAGCCAAGGGCTGCTGGCAGCCATCAGAGGCTGGAAGAGGCAAGGAATAGATTCTTCCATAGAGCCTCAGGACAGAGTACAGTCCTGCTGACACCTTGATTTTGGCCTAATAAAATGGATTTTAGATTTCCACCCTCCAGAACTGTGAGAGAACACATTTCTGTTGCGTTAGCCACATTTGTGGTAATTTGCTATAGCAGTTACAAGAAACAATATTGACAGCTTGGTGCCTGTGGCTCAAATGGCTAAGGCACCAGCCACATACACCTGAGCTGATGGGTTCAAATCCAGCCCGGGCCGCCAAACAACAAGCTGCAACTAAAAAATACTCAGGCATTGTGGCAGGTGCATGTAGTCCCAGCTACTTGGGAGGCAGAGGCAGAAGAATCACTTGACCCTAGAAGTTGGAGGTTGCTGTGAGCTGTGATGCACTCTACCCAGGGCAATAGCTTGAGGCTCTGTCTCAAAAAAAAAAAAAAAAGAAAGAAAAAAGAATGAAAGAAAGAAACAATATTGACAGTATCCACCAAACCTGAGCATACTCATACCTAAGCCCAGCAATTCTAGGTATATATCTTTAGAAGTACAAGCATTCATTCACTAAAAATCATGCACAAGAATGTTCACAGCAGCATTATTCATAATAGCCCCAAACTAGAAACAACCTAAATGTCAATTTTCAATTCATAGGCTAGACACCATGGCTCACACCTGTAATCCTAGCTCTATGGGAGGCTGAGACAGGTCACTTGAGCACAGGGGTTTAAAACCAGCCTGAGCAAGAGCAACAGCAAGATCCTGTCTCTACTGAAAATAGAAAAACCAGGCAGCGCCTGTGGCTCAGTGGGTAAGGCGCCAGCCCCATATACCAAGGGTGGCAGGTTCAAACTTGGCCCTGACCAAACTAAAACAACAACAAAAAAATAGCCGGATGGTGAGCACCTGTAGTCCTAGCTACTTGAGAAGCTGAGGCAAGAGAATTGCCTAAGCCCAAGAGCTGGAGGTTGCTGTGAGCTGTGATGCCATGGTGCTCTACTGAAGGCTACAAAGTGAGACTCTGTCTCTTTTTAAAAAAAAAAAAAATAGAAAAACCAGCTGGGTGTTGTGGCAGGTGCCTATGGTCCCAGTTACTTGGGAGGCTGATGTGAGAGGATATCTTGAGCCCAAGAGTTTGAAGTTGCTGTGAACTGTGAGGCCACCTCACTCTACCAGGGCAACAGAAAAAAAAAGTCCAATGCATGAACTAATTGTGGTATATTTATAAAATGATATATCTTGCTATACAGCAATACAAAGTCATCTATAAAACAAAAACAAAAACAAGTCATCTATAGATAAGCAGAACATGGAAGAATCTCACAAACACAACATAGAGCAAAGGCAACCAGAAAAAAAACAAACAGTATTGTTTGTATATGATTATGTTAAACTCAAGAAGAGGCAAAATCACCTACATCATTGAGTGATGGAAAGCTAGAAAGCGAAAGAAAAGCAAGGAATTACCATAAAAGTCAGGACAGTGTTTCCAGCTAGGGTAGGAGGGGGGCTGTGATTAGGAAGGAGCCCATGATAGAAAGGGAGGGGCGCCTTGGGTCCTTGTAATATATTTCTTGGCATGGATGACCCTGTTGTTTTATAATATATATATGTGTGTGTGGGTACATATGTGTGTGTGTGTATATATATATATAGTTGTTGTTAAGAGATAGGGTCTCGCTTTATCACCCTTGGTAGAGTGCCGTAGTGTCACATCTCACAGCAACCTCCAACTCCTAGACTTAGGCGATTCTCTTGCTTCAGCCTCTCGAGTAGCTGGGACTACAGGTGCCCCGCCACAACGCCCAGCTATTTTGTTGTTGTTGTTGTTGCAGTTTGGCCAGGGCTGGGTTCAAACCTGCACCCTCAGTATATGGGGCCAGTGCCCTACCCACTGAGCCACAAGCGTCACCCTTATGTTAACTGTACATTTACGTCTTATGCACTGTTCTGATTGTTATATTCCACAATAAAATGTATCTTGGTGGTGGTGGTAATTTTTTTTTTTTTGAGACAGAGCCTCAAGCTATCACCCTGGGTAGAGTGCCATGGCTTCACTGCTCACCGCAACCTCCAACTCCTGGGCTCAAATGAGTCTCCTGCCTCCTCCTCCCAAGTAGCTGGGACCACAGGAGCCCGCCACAATGCCTGGCCATTTTTTTGTTGTTGCCATCATTGTTGTTAGGCGCGGGTCCGGGCTGGATTTGAACCCGCCACCTTAGGTGTATGTGGCTGGCATCTTAGCCGCTTGAGCCACAGGCGCCGAGCCGTGGTGGTAATTTTTAACAGAATCAACAGGGAGCAACCCTTGACGCCTTCCTGTATCCCTCCACTCACTGTCCTCTGGGCTCCTCCAGCCTCTGCCACTTCCTTCCTCAGTCATGCCTCTTGAGCACTCAAGGGTTGTCAGCTACTGTGAGCCAGTCGGGTCATCCACCAGAATAGGAGCTCTCCGGAGCCAGCACCAAGGCTAGAGTCCTCTCAGGACCAAACATACAGGAGGCCTTCCTTACTACTGTATATTATAATTATCAGGGTCACCTCTGTTCCCTTCCCCAGCAGTTTCTGCTCCCCACAAAGAAACAGCCCTTGGCAGAGGACTGCTGAGGTAACAAGGGGTGGTGGGCTCTACATTTCCACTTATCTTTGACTCTGTCCATCTGTCTCTCCACATCCCCCTCAGGAATGCTCACATGCATTTGCAAGGGCTATTTTCTGTCATTCTGTTGAACTACTCACCCCTCAAGGGCCACCCTAGAGTACTCTCCTTTGTGGAACCATGGCCCTCCTTCCTCTGAGCTTCCACTGGCCTTCCTGTGGCCATGGCCTGTCCACACCCTCCCTAAAGCACGTTCTAAAACTCTCAAACATGACCCACTCCAGGCCTTGAGGGTCTGTCTATTCTCCACCTCTGGTGATCTACAAGGGTTCTAACAAGCTCAGGTGCCCCACAGTTCTGTGTGCTCAGAAGTCTTTGGAGGCACGTCACCTCAGGGTTCCCATCACTGCCACCGTGCTGACTTGCACTACACTTTGAGGTTGAACCACCCCAGGCCCACGCCAGACAGACAGGTCCCTAACTGAAGTGGGTGGGAAGGTCCCAGAGTATGGGGCAGGGCCTGGAATGCACCCAACCAGTATGGGGCGGGGCAGTCACTCTGGACAAGCAGCAGACAAGCCCTAGGGCTAAAGAGGCAGGTCCTGGAATTTAGCCCACTAGGCTAAGCAAGCAGCAGCCTACAACAAGGGTAACCCCAATTAGAGAACCTCAAAACTTACAAGGTCGTGAAAAGAAACCATTATCTCTCTCAGGCCAAGGAGAGCCCTCCAGCTCAAGGGAAAGGTACAAGGGAATGTACCTTTCCTCACCTACCAGCATTCACTAGGGCAGAGATGGATCTCAGTACTTCTCTATCTGGCAAATCACTTCCCCTCTCTGAGCCCATTTCCTATAAAAATGGAGATAAAATCCCACACAGGTGGATGACAGATTTCAAAAATGAGCCAAATAGAATTTAGCTGTCTTCTAGCGAGGTTAAAGGCAGAAGCTGGGATCAGACAGCAGCTAGCTGGACTCACCTCCTAGACTTGAGGGCAGACACACCCCTCAGTAAAGGCTGTTCCTTGGGAGTCCCTGCCCACCCTGGGACCATGGTTTCCTTCCCTCTCAGGAAGGAAATCCCTGGGTACTGTGTAACAAACTTGGGTTCCAGAGCCCTTACACCAAGGGGAGGGAAGGAGGCCATGACCTCAGCTGCAACCACATAAGTGTATGTCCTCGTAAGAGAAACACAGGCTAAGAGGTCAATGTCCAAAAGGTGTGAAGAGTAAGGAAACACCTAGAGAGGAACTCCTGGCAGGAGGATGCCTATCTTTTCCAATTTCTAATCCTTGGGGGTTGCTGGCCTAACTCACTCAAGTAGTTGAAAATCCTGAACACCCCTCAACTCCACCAAGACATATAGGAGCAAAGCATGTCAACAGGGTTGGAAGAGTTTGTAACTCCAAGGCAGTACTGTTCTTCCCACTTTGACAGATGAGGAAACTGAGGCCCAGAGAGTAGGACAAGCATCTGTTAGCTAGTGGCAGATAACCCACTATCCTGCCCACCCACCCTTCAGCCCCTAAAACTGGGACAGAAACACTCCTTCCCTAGCACCAGCTACTTGGGAGACACTTATCAAAGGGGAGGACCATATATGAGCCCAGAAGTTTGAGGGTAACGTGGGCAACATAGTAAGACTGCAGCTCTAAGAAAAGAAAATTTTTTTTAAATTTAAAGAGTTCTAGAAAGCCTGATGCCCACCTACGCCCCCTTCCAGGGCAGTTTTATTGGTGCCATTTCAGAAAGGCCTTTCCCATCAGCCCCCAAGCCTTTCTCTTCCCTTTTCAAGAAGGCAGTTGTTTCCTGGTCCTGGCCTCATGGACAACAGTACACCTTAGTCTGATGCCGCCACAACATCCACATGTGAGGGTATGAATACAAGTCTCTGTCTAGCTCTGGGAAGCAGGGGAAGGTGGAGGGGGGTGATGAAAGCTGGGCAGAGCCCTGGCTAGAGATGTGCAAACAAGGTGAGCAGGCCCCACGTGCACCCTGGCTCCAGTGCCCACTACCGTGGCTGAAGTCCAGGTTGGGGGTGGTCAAATTAGAGATCCTGAGAGATAAGCCATTAGGCCAAAGTGTGTGGAACAGGCCAGGGTAAGGGCTGTGGGAAGACTTCAGTGGGGGCAGTGTGTATGAGCGTGTGTTTGCACGCATGTGTGTGCACCCGTGCATGTGCAGACAGCCCAGGATCAGAGACAGAATGTGCAGGGGGCTGTTGGTGTGTGGCTTTGCCTCCCTCCCTTTGGGGACCCAGGTGCTCCTGGCCTCCTAAGGCCGATGAAACACAGGGGTGGGGGAGAATTTGGGAAGGAAACTCAGCTGGAAGTGGTTTAGGCCTCACAACCCACATCCTGTGGAAGGGGCTGTCAAGGGGCGGGCTGTCAAGGGGCGTGCCATCCTGGTCCTATCACAGTCCTCAGAGCTGCTGAAGTGACAGTCCTGTAGGGGCAGAGATGGTTGTCCTCCAGGGGAGAAGTGGCACGAAGACTCAGAGGTGGCATTAGTCCTGCTAGATCCAGGATCAGGAAGCCTCTGTTGGGCGTTGCCCCCCCTCCTCCTCCATCAGCAACAGGCGGCGCCGGCCAGCCTCATAGTCGGCCTCGTCCACGCTGACCAGCAGGCGGACAGCCTCCCGGCCCACGGCCTCACGCAGGGCCTCAGTCAGGAACACGCCCCTCAGGGCCTGCAGCAGGGCACCACTCAGGTAGTCACCCCAGAAGGCGTCCAGATAGGAGAGCTCTGAGAACTTGATGTCACACACCACGGAGCCCAGGTCCCTTGAGCGCAGCACTGCAGTGGCTTGTCCAAACACATCCAGCTGCCGTGCCAGTGCCTGGGGCCGCCGGGATGCCACGCCCTGTTCCAAAGCTGGCCCATGCTCACAGTACTCTGCTCGAACCCGGAGCCGGATATCTGGAAGGGTGGGAGAAAAGAGGGCCTTGTCAGGGAGAGGTCAAAAAAGGACATCACCTGTGCTCCCCCTCCAACCTCCCATCCCCTCCGGCCCCGCAGGCTCCTCCCTTGGTCCCTTTCTGGTGACCACACCCAAGCTAAGTGACACCCTGCCTCCACTGCCCATGTGGTCTGGCCTCAGTTACCTTTAGGACCTCACATGCTCCTCTCTGGCCTCCCCACTGCCTCGCTGCTACTCCAGCCAGCAGGCAGCTCCACTTCAGCCCTGCCTCTCCTCCAGCTGGGTGTTCTTTCCCCAGATCTCCATTGGTCTTACTCCCTCACCTTCTGCAGGTCTTTTTTTTTTTTT